GCAGACTAGGACAATCGGAAAAATCGGCAGTAGTGGAAAGCGGAACATGCGCTTAGTGAAGGGAATCATGAAATACTATTTGGTCAGGGCAAGCTTCTTGCACCGACTTCCGGATACCACAATCGTCTTGTACGTGAATCTATAGAAATCCATAAACATACGGAGAACTTCAACAGGAAAGAAGAAACACTAAAACTCAACCAAATTTAGAACCCGATCCTCAAAAATGCAAGAAAGATACCATTGAGTATAGGAAGAGTTCAGATTAGCCACATGCTGCGAAGCCTCGCCCCTCTCCCACCACAACCACTCACACATAAATACAACTTGCGGTCGAAAACGCGTCAGTCTGCTACCAGAATCGGACAAGGAAGCATCTCTGAAGATGCTACCGAAACTTCAGGACGAAATTCCAACTTACGACGGCTATTAAGCCCGAATGAAAATACTTTATCAAAATGTAAGATATTGCATTGTCGCTTTGTTGATTTTCATTAATTTTCCATTTTGTTTTTTGAAATTTCAGTGTGATCATCTCCTTACTTTCCTCTTGTTTTCCAGAAAAAATAAATAAAATATAAGAGGGTACATTTTTACTCAATTTAAATTTTGCAAGTTGATTTCCATTAATTTCTCATTTTGTTATTTTCCACTGGAAAAGTTTGAAATTTTAGCATGATAAGCTCCTTACTTTCCTCTTTTTCTCCTGAAAGTTTCAGTTTTCCATTCAGTAGTTTTTTTTTTTTACTGGAAAATTTTGACATTTTAGTATGATGAGCTCCTAATTTTCTTCTGGAAGTTTCACAATTTTCCCTTCAGTAGTTTTCCAGAAAAAAAATTATTCCTATTTTCTCATGTAATCCAATGTATTCCTTTGTATTCTCATGTAATCCTATGTACTTATTTACTCAATTCTTCCCCACCAAACTTTAATATGAAAAATCCAGTTTCAATAAAGACACAGAATATTAATATGCGATAAATACACTACAGCAAACAGCCGAAATAAACCAAATCAATCGAATGTTAGTGAACTTCATGAAAAATATGGACGAGAAGAGGAAGCCCCAGGACAGAAAGAGAATTGAGAAGAAGAACGAATAAGACAGAAATAAAAACAAGAAGATCACAACCGACTCGTAGAATTTTTCTAAGAAAAGGACCGGAACAAAAAGAACAGGACCGGCTCTTAACACTTTTACAAGAACTAGAAGGTTGAAGAACAAAAGAGAAACAAGAAAAAAAAAAAGACCGGAGACAGGAAGAACGAGCCCGAAGACAAGAAGAGTACCGGCTTCTAGCCCAGTAAGTGCGGGTAAAAAAAACCCTGTTTGGGTTCACCCTGATCTAAAATCAAAATTTTCGAACTTTAGTACGGGCCGCGCAAGCCGCCATCTTGGATTATACGTAAATTTTTTTTTAAACATTGGCCGAGTTCGTTTTTGTCATCTTTTTCGTCGTTTTCCTCCGAAATTTTGACAGGCACGTGACTGGATCAGACAGTTTCAATTTACAAATCACGTGCCTGTCAAAATTTCGAAGCAAATCGACGGAAAAGATGACAAAAACGAACTCGGCCATTATCTCCTTAACGGTGCATCTTACGAAAAATGTCAAATTATGAAAGTTAAAAAAAAAACACAATTTCCTACGTTTTATGTTTCTACATTTTTATATGTATGTACAGGGTCCTCCAACGAGGACTGAACAGAGGCAAATTTTTGATTTGTAGGTACTCTGTATTTTTGAGAAAATCCAAAATAGCCAATTTCTGGAGAATACAAAAATGGTATCAAAAAATTACTTGAACCAAAGAGTTACGCTACAGATTAACTGTTTTCTACATATTTCTCTTTTCATTCATATTATTTGTTAGTGATACTTTCTATCAGATCTGTCCCCCCGGGCGACTGGAAAGCATTGCAGAGTTAGTAAGCAAATATATGTCCATTAATGATCACTAAAGCATTCGACAAAGTTTGGCATGAAAATCTGCTCAGCAAGCTCAAAGCAATGGGATTATCGCCGAAACTTTGCACTTGGTTTGAAAGTTACCTAAAGGACAGATACATTTATGTTGCACTGGATGGCCAGAACTCCAACTCTTACCAAATAAATGCTGGCGTGCCACAGGGAGCAATCCTTTCGCCAACCCTTTTTCTGATTTACATAAATGACCTCATAGATAAAACAGTAAATCCACTTTATTGCTTTGCAGACGATGGCAATGTAGTCTCCTCACTCATACCACCCACAGGTCTTTCCGCACGTGAATTCCATCATCTTAGACTAACTCAAATATCGCAGATAAATAACGACCTGGAGATAATAGAGGACTGGGGTAACAAAAACCTTGTACAGTTCAACGCGCAGAAAACCCAAGCAGCTCTGTTTTCAAAAAAGACCAGCACCGGTGAGCCAAACATCATGCTATCTGGAAGTGCTGTCACATTACAGAGTCAGTTGAACATCTTGGGGGTTACTGCAGAGACCAACATGTCTTGGCACAGTCACGTGGCAGATATTGCTAAAAGGGCGTCCCAAAAGCTGGGGGTGCTATTTCGTACAAGACATCTGTACACACCAAGCCAATTGCTGACACTCTACAAAGCCCAGATTCGACCAACTATGGAGTACTGCTCACATATATGGAGTGCAGCACCCAAACATACCTTAATGCTTTTGAACACCGTGCAAAAACGAGCTATCAAGCTGATCAATGACCCCGCACTTACTCGTAACTTGGATGGTCTCGAACATCGCAAATCTGTGGGCGATCTATCTCTCTTCTACAGGTACTATCACGGAAAATGCTCTGAAGAGTTGGCACGAATGATTCCACCGAGAGTAGCACCTACCAGGCGAACCCGTCAAACAGACGATAACCATGAATTTACTGTCAAACTAGAGGTACCAAGAACCTCATTATATCAGAATTCATATCTCTGGAGAACGGCATCGCTGTGGAATAAACTCCCTGCGACGGTTTTCCCTGCAGGTTACAACCTGAACCGTTTCAAGACCAACATACATCGACATTTCCGCGCACTTGCCGCTTCTCGAGCGTGATAGGACATTTCCTTGCGAGTGCGCATATCCATAAAAAAAAAAAAAACATCACGACAATATCTCTAAAAGAGCCCGGCGGATTATTCTACTATCGAATCACAAATTATTGACAAAGATAACAAGAAATCTTATTGAAATTTCAATACTGTTTAAAATCACATTTTTCCCTTTATCTCCATAATTACAAAGCGGAGGTAGAGTGCACGAAATCTTCCTTCAAATAATAATTTTAAAAAAAGCGAATAAAAAACAAAACTGTCACATTACAAACAGGAGAGTGCTCTAGTAAGGGCAGAAACTCTATTGGATCTAACCCTGAGAGAAATAGCGCTAGTAAGGGCAGGAAAATCTCACGGATTTCTCCTGTTCTCTCACTCTCACTCTAATCTTGGCCGCAAATATATGTATTGAGTAGATAGGCAAGAGGCCATTCCAAACCTTCTTACTATTTCATTCAGGGTTGGCATACACAAAAACCCATTTCAAAAACATAAAACATAGTGGGTTTTTGACACAAAAAACAAAAACCCATCATCAATATTGACAAAAACCCAGTGTGCTTTTGTGTCAAAAACCCACTCATACAGAAATATGTAATTAACTGCCCTAATTTGGAATTTTTTTTAATAAAAAGCGAACTCATTCCTACCATAGTGACAATATCAATCAAAAATCTAAGATGACCCACATTTTAAAATAAAATAAAGAAATCTTTCTTAAGGACCGGTCTATTCACCTTGTGATAAACTGTCAGGTATGCAATCTGACGGATAAAAACGCAATCTGTAATCCCATTCGTCGGCCAGCTATCGACCGACCAATAAAATTATAGAACGGTAAGTTTATCTTGCAGATAGTTACCAGCAAGTTTATCTGAAGATGAATAAGTCGGGCCTAAGGAAAATTTTCATATTGGAAAAGTTTAATAATTTTAAGTTTTTCTACTTTTTCTGGACTCTGGAGCTATAAGCGGTTCCTCAAGTCTGATTACACGTAATGTATGTAATTTCGAGTGGAGTTCTGAGTTTGAGGTTATGTGGAAGGCAGAAACACAAAAACCCTACAAAAACATAAAAACCCAATACAAATTTTCAAAAACCCGGATTTTTGTCAACCCTGATGTCATTGCCCACTACTCCATTCATCTGGGAAGATTTGAAGCTGAATAAAGAGTTTGATTTTTGCCCAATCGATTCTAAAGAACGTTAAAGTGATGGAGGAAGGACTAACCAAAAACCTTGCTATTTTGTGTAAATTGAAAATATACCCTAATTTTAATATTTTGGATCAACACTCGCAAGATATATTCAGGCTAAATTTCGTAAGTATTCTCTTCTTTGTTGTCCGAGTTGAGTTAGGTAGGTGAAAATACAATAGCTACAACAAAAATCCCATACTTATACACGGGAAAGTCACCTCCAATCCATAAACAAGTAGATTTTTAGATTTTTGGTACAAATGTGAAAAATCAAAGAAAAAAATATATAGATTTATTGCACTAATTATTTTTCATACGCCAATTCCATAAAACAAACTTGACGGCAATTTCATGCATACACATAGAAACAACCTCGTTATTCCATTTGCGGCTGGCTTTCATAAATTTACGAATATGCATCTCTCCTCTGACGAGTCTCGTTATGGAAACTGGGAAAACACGAATCGAAACTGACGGGTTCCGTAACTCAACCAGACAGACGGATCTCCCGGCCCCTTTTGCGGGATTCAAGAAGCATAATTTACATAACCCTTTTAGTAATAGCATCTCATAATATGCAATTTTCAGAAAAATGCAAGCCATGCAAATTTTAAAATGCGCATTGAGGTTGAAAACAAACCAAACTTTGTTAGAGGAAAACTATTTACCAGAACTTCGATTGGAATTATCAGAATACATATTATAGTAATTATTCGAAAAACTTGGTCCCCACCAACCATAATTATTTTCAATCGGCTCAGGGGGTGGAGCACTAGGTTTAAACCTTGGAGGTATTGGTGGAGGAATTTCTTCTTTATTCTTTTCATCTTGTTGTGCACATTCTCTTCTATTTTTTTTATCGAAACTAAATCTTTGCTGTTTGACAGGACTAGAACAGCTTGAAGAAGAGTTGGCGCAGGAAATTTCGGGATCGCGTCTCTCTATAACAACATCCCAGCCTTTGGGGGTGGTTATGACATTGGCTTGAGGTTGAATAATATTTTTTCGTCTTCTAGTGGGTGGTGTAGGAGATGGTTTTAGCCGTAATAAGAAAGTAACTTCCTCCTCTTCTGAAGAAGATAGTGAGGACTCTTGATAACGATCCGAATAACTCATTTCTATAGAATTTCTAAAAGTATGAGACACACATAATTATTATGGCTTGCATACAAAAACACTGAATACTCACGCATATCTATATCAAAACATAACCATAACACTCTTTCACCGTGGTCTATTTTATTTTTGACAAAATATCCTGCAAGTTATTATTTACAAGACAAATTTTCAACCGGCTACTAGCCACAAAAAATCACAAAAATAAAACTATATACAACGAGCCGCTTCGCGTCCCGATGTCACGTGTTTTATTATAAAAATCGAAATCAAAATTTCTGTTGGGGACGGCACACCGGTAACATAAGTGGAAAATTGTGTAACTATTTTTGGAAAGGCTGAGTTTCTATTAGATCAGGAGTTCGGAGCAGTTGGAGGAGCTAAAAGAATTGAAAAGAATTCTTAATGTGATCGGAACGTTTCACGGACAAATTACATTTAGAAATGATGAGCCAGAAATAATTCAAATTCTTATAGAGTAGGCAGGTTATAAATATGAGTTTTCTCTGAATTTTTATTTGCTTTTTCCAAAAAAATATTTCTTTCAAATTAGGCGGGTTTGTGTGGCACCGTGTGGTGAAACATGTTACGGTTTCATAAAAATAAATTTGTGGAAATCTAGAATTTTTTTGCTTTCAAAATAAGTTTAGAGTAAAGTTACAATAACTTATGATGGTCCTCCATTCCAAATTTTGCAGACATTTTGAAAAATGCAAAAATGTAAAAACTGGTATACAATTGAAATATCCAAATATCCAAATCCAAAAATATTGTTAGAATGAATTTAGAACAATATATTTATTAAACTAGAGAGAACTTATAATGGAAATTAAAACGTATTTAAAAAAAAAATTAAAAGGTATAAGAAGCACGTTGTTACGTGGCACAATTAAGTTGGATTGAACTACAACTTCTAGCAATTTTATCTCGTTTTCCACTTTATAAACTAGAGTAGTTCTTCGACTTCGAAAATAGACTACCGTCAGTTATGTCATTCCCTAGAGGCGAAGAGGCGAAATAGAAAAGACAATCCGTTCGTTAGCTAACAAATTGTTACACTGAAACCGGAGATTTATGTTTTCGTTGTACCTAAGTCATCCTAGAGGAGTCGGATTTGCAGAAAATCGAGCTCTTGTCTATTATAATCTGTGTGTCTAATGGTGAGCTTTAGTTGGAGATAGTTTTTGCAAGAAATATGATGTTATGCCGTTTTTTTTTACAAATGGCAATATCTTTTCGCAACAGTAATGATTGATTATCAAAATTTAGTCAATACCGTCCCTGGGTTAAATAAAGATGAATAGGACCTACTTACAGCACGTTTATAACAAGAAGGGAGATGGAAAGAATAACAGGACCGGCTCGCAGCCCAATAAAAACAAGAACAGAACCGGTTTCAGGAAAATTTCAAAATTCAGCGAGAATAGATTCAAAATCACTACTCGGCATTGATTCTTCCGATTCATTAAGTAAATGGAACCAATACATTAGACAATATTTACCTACAAATTTTTCCGGAAATATATTTTAAGTAGAAAACAACATAATATTCGAGGTGTCCAATATTCCTTAATTCTACAACTTTTTTATTTAAAAAAATCAAAATTCAAAATATGCTTGCCTAAATATTTATTCCATACTCATTTTATGTTTTTGGAATATTTTTTGTGTCGCAATATCACCGAAGGACTTCCTCAATAAATAAATAATTTTAGATCCAACCATTTAAGGGCTTTTCAATTCCTCTTAACTACCCTTTTGTGCCAAATAATAAACCCTTAACACATACGTGTATTACCACCGAACCGAGAGAAGTGAACCAGGTAGATAAAATTATCTGTGAAACGCAAATTAAACAGACCATGTACAATTTTCCACTTTATAATACGCGTTTTCCGTCGACTGTACCATGTAGATAACCCTTTTGAAGTCGCCAAACGACTATCTGGCAAATGATTTGTGCAAACCTGGTTTGGCGTGGCTGTATTATTAACGGACATTCGCCTTATTTGCTTAGAGGAAGGATTAACTTTATGCTTGTTCATATCAATATTTGAAGTCGAAATCATGTGAATCAACAGTTTAGGGACCAGCAAAATACAAACCTAAATCAAATAACATTATTCAGATTACTTACTATATGGAAAACATAGAAATTCTTGCTTTTGATTAAATTAAATTCTTGCTGCTCGAGTGCCTTTTACTTTGTTTTTCGTCTGATGCATTCCAACAAATTCAATTTAAATTTAGAGCTGAATTAGAGAATATAACATGCACAATATACTAAAATTAAGTAATTTGGTTAGCAATTACAGTAAAATTAAAATAAAGGAAATCAGGTTTTTTTGGGTATAGATAAGGATGCAAAAATGGGAATTTGATCTAGCAATGAACGAATATAGCTCAATAAGACAGAGAAATAATTAGAAAGTATGACGAAGTCATAAATTCACGCGGATGACGTGATCATAGTAGATATGGAAAACGCAAAGAAATTAAAAAATATGCAAATAAAAACAATAAGATGAATAAGCCACGTTAGTTGGTTTCATAAATAAATTGATTCGAGATTAGACCCATTATCAAAAAATTGACTGATGTACGCATGTCTTCACATATAATATTCAGAGTATTACGATGAGTCAATTTTGGTCGTGGCGCCATCTAAGACACTAAACACCACTTATGCTGTAACAGTACCATCTAATAGGCCAACCAAAAATCAGTTTGTTGAGAATCCCCAAAATAGGGAAAACAAGTTTCCTCCTATTATACACTGACTGTGATAATTTTGGGTTAATTTTCTTCGCTTTTCCATCCACAGAGGCGTTTCGATCTATCAGATTTCATCAGTGTGGCTAGGAGAGAAAAAAGAAACCCAACCCAAGTTTAGTGCCTGTAAGTAAAGTAAAAGTAGTATGAAGAGAGAATTCTGGTCGTGGCGCCATCTAAGACTATTATTCAGCACTAAACACCACTTTTCCTAGCCACACTAATGAGATCTGATAGATCGAAACGCATCTGTGGATGAAAAATCGAAGAAAATTAACCACAAATTTTCAGTCAGTCTATAATAGGAGAAAACTTGTTTTCCCTATCTTGGGTTTTCCCAACAAACTGATTTTTGGTCGGCCTATTAGATGGTCAGTACTGTTACAGCAAAAGTGGTGTTTAGTGCTGAATCCTAGTCTTAAATGACGCCACGAACAAAATTCGCTCTTCCTACTAGTTCTACTTTGCCTACAGGCACTAAACTTGGGTTGGGTTTTTTTGCTTTCCTAGCCACACTGATGAGATCTGATAGATCAAAACGCGTCTCTGGATGGAAAAGCGAAGAGAATTAACCTAAAATTTTCACATTCAATGTATTACTTTTATTTGAGCCAAACGTAACCAAATATATAGGCTGTCAAAATTATCTTCCCATTTTCCATTGAATACCAAATTTCCAAATTTGGGAGCATAACATTCATATTATTACAACATGAGGAGTGGCTCTATTTAATCGAGAATTGGCAAATTAATCTTAAGGGAATCAAACTGACTACATCATCAATAGAGTCGTCTTAGCTGACCTCTCTTGAACTCACTATAAATAAAGTAGTGGTGCTACGTTTATAGCTTCACAAATGCGAATTATGTGTCACATCAAAATATCCAAACAAACAATATGGACGTTTAGAATATTTTGCACGTCGCACCGGATAAGTATAATAGCTCGATGTGTCAAAACTAGTAAAATTTTAATGCAAATTATCCTACATGTTTACTTTCTCGTGCGAAAATGATTACGAAGGGCTTGACTATACTGCTAGGAAACAAAGGAATTCCTAATTATAATTAGTTTTTGCTCAGCAAATAATAATGCGAAGGCGACGCGCTGGGTCGTTTTATTTGAGATTGAAATTAATTAATGCCACCAATTAGAGGAAAATTAAATATAAATTATAAGGTCCCGAGTTCGAATCACGCATGGTTGCAGTTGTAGGATTTGCCTTGTTGCAAATGCATTTAAACCCTCAAAAGTGTTTTGGAATCCACTATTAAGTTGTCCATCCATCACTCGGCCCTCTATGCCATTGAAAATGTTGTAGTTGGAACCCATTCCCGCACAGAGTTAAAATATGCACTTGAAAATACACGTAATAGGTTTTATTCAAATTAACGACTTGCACAGACAAATTTTTCTAAAGTTTCAAAAAATAAATACAGACACAAATTCATTCAATAACAAAATTTGTGATTTCTCTAAAAAGGCAGGACATACTGACAATACTTGTTCCAAAAAGAAACAAGAATGCGGAAGATGAAATTGTTAATTTTTGTAGCTCTCAGGATCATTTTGGTCTCAATGATAATATAGAGAAGTTCAGCTTATATTTATTAAAGATTTGTGGTATATTTTATAAAGTTTTCTTAGATACTGGAGCTCAAGTTTCACTCATTCGTGAAAGTAAGGCTCAAACCTTCAGTTTGATACCTGTGGTGGAAAACATAAAAATAAAGGGAGTCAGAAATCACACTTTTTGCTCCAAATATTCAATTCAAGTAACTATTTCATTAAGTGAGCACAGTTTTCTTTTGAAATTATATGTTGTAGAAGATAATGCTATCTCTTTTGACATTATTTTTGGTTTAAACTTTCTCAGTAGGCCTGGTGTGATACTGAAATATGATCAAAGTGTACCATCATTGATGTTTGAGTCGCCTGGTACACCTCAGTTGATTCCAGAATTAGATGGCGATATTGAACTCGAGATAATATTGAATGAATTTAAAGAAATAAGCAGAAATGGAAATAAGGTGCCTTCCCTGATTACCACTGGTGAGTTTAAAATCAGACTCACATCAGATAAGGAAAGAAAATACCGCTCTTATAGACTTTCAGTGGCAGAAAGGGAAATTGTCAGAAATATTGTGCAAGATATTTTAGATAATTCCATCATTCGCCCTTCACAATCACTATTTGCCAGTCCTATTCTATTAGTATGGAAGAAAAATAGCGAACCACGTTAAAGCCCGGGACACATCTATCATGCATTCTTCCGATCCGACTCCGATCATACAATCAGGGTCCTTATTCTTGGAACAGGGACCAGCGTTCCCAGAAGAACGAGAGTTCCGCTGCTCCCCTGTTCCAAGAATAAGGATCTGGATTGTATGATCGGAGTCGGATCGGAAGAATGCATGATAGATGTGTCCCTGGCTTTAGTCGTTGATTTTAGAAGTTTGAACCGCATAACAGTTAGAGATCGTTTTCCACTACCCCGTATAGAAGCTCAAATCGACAAACTCAGCAATAGCAAGTAGTTTACAATACTTGATATGGCTGCGGGTTTTCATCAAATTAAAGAACACCCAATTCGAATACTTACGTATGCCTTTCGGTTCGGCAAATGCACCATCAATTTTCCAACGAGCAATAAATATAGCTCTACAAAACGAAATTACAAAAGGCATCGTAGTTCAAGTTGTTTATTTGGACATTCTTATGCCTACATTGACAATTCAGGAAGGGTTATTCAACTTAGAAATTGTTGTTAACAACTTTAAAAGCTCGTGGGTTTTCTATAAATATAAACAAGTGCCACTTTTTGAAAAAGGAAGTAGAGTATTTAGGCTGTGTAATATCTAATGGTAGTATTAAAGCAAGTCCACTGAAAGCACAAGCTATAATGGGACTTTCCCCTCCATCCAACATTAAGGAAGTCAGGCAATAGAGAATTATGGCACCTTCAAATAACGACGGTCACTAATATAAACGTTCTTATTTTGACTTTATTGACACCTTTGCATGCGTATTTGGGACTAGTGGCGGTCAGTAATAGAATAAGGATTATCCTTATTTGTGATTGGATAGTGAAGGCAGTATTTAATCCACTATTTTTTGAGACAGGTGCAAATCTAAATCAAATGTCAGCTGTCCAAGAATTTTTCAGATTCTAACATCACATAATTTGTTTATATTGTTTGTGTTCTGTGAATGGATAAAACCGAAAAACATCATTTGCACCTTCTAGAATGGCAGCTTTTAACATATCTTCCATTATAATTGAGTAAACAACGCGCCACTGATGCAAAAAAATGGTCAAAATAGTGCCAATTTAAAATGTTCCATAATTCTTTTTATTCATAAGAAATAGTGACTAATGAGTAATGGGGCTTGCAATTGGAATAAAATTTCAAAAATTTGTTTTAAATCGATAGTTTATACTGCACAATATTTATATGACAACACTGATAATTGATTCTTTTGCCACTTTTATCTTTAGAACAAGGACAATTACTTTCAGCGAAAATATTTGCTTTTATATTGAGAAAACATGGATTCTTGCAGTAAGTTCAAGATTCTTTTGCCACTCCGGCACTCCCCCAGTTACAAATTCACCTTTGCCTGGTACAGGTCTCAAATCGCGAAAAGACAGGAGCTGTCTGCATTTTTCAATTTGTAGCCGTGAGTCTTTGTGGTGCGTGTTGAAGTATAGATTGTAAAATCATAACAATGAACGTGAAGGAATTATTAAAAAGTTGGCGTCTGGACCATTTATGGCCAAAGTTTGAAGGTAAGTTTGAGTGCCTTTTCAAGCCATACCGCATGCATTTATGCCGCCATTTCGTGTAGGCCATATTTAGTTACCTATAGCCTGCTCGCGGGTACCATTCGACCTAGTGGTGCCGCGAGACGAGACTAGACGAGACTTAGGGTTGGTCTCGTCTCGTCTCGACATCTCGAGACGAGACCGTGATTTAGTCTCGGTCTCGAGTACCAAAGTCTCGTGTCGTCTCGAGTGGTCTCGTCTGGTCTCGATTTATACAGGGTGTCCAAAAAATAGCGTAAAAACTCTTCTCTACGTGGTGGAGGACCCTACAAGGAACCCAAGAAAAATACTTTGAAAAATCTAGTGGCATTCTTAAGAAAGTTATTTGCATTTTAATATTTATTAAAATTGGCAACACTGAAAATATCCCGTTGACAATATGTCAGAGAATTAAATTACATACCCATGTAACTACCGGAAGAATTCGAAGGTGAATTTTGACATCTACCTCTTCATATTACCAAGAATAATGCTGGGGAAGGATTTTTTTTAATTTAATTATTTTTCTAGGGTTTCTCAAAGGGTCCTCTACTACGTGGAGAGTTTTTACACTATTTTTCGGACACCCTGTATTTAAGGTTTTTGTTTTCATACTATAACGGAAGTCCAAACTGCCACAGTGAAAAAGCAATTAGTGAAAAATCACAGTTGAGAGTAACCCTGATATTTAATTTACTGATTTCATATTCAAATAGCCCAGAATAGTCCAATAATAAAGCTATGAAAGAAAAATTTTAAGTGTAATCTCGAGACTCGAGACTACACGAGACTCTCGCCGAGTGTGGTCTCGTTTCGTCGAGACTTCACGAGACGAGCCTACACGAGACTCTCGCCGAGTGTGGTCTCGTCTCGTCGAGACTTCACGAGACGAGACCAAAAGCCAGTCTCGTCTGGAAAAGTCGAGACGAGACGAGACGAGACGAGACCAGTCTCGAGTCTCGCGGCATCACTAATTCGACCAGGTTTTGCCCTTTATCATTTCGTTTACCATCGCACCAATAATATTTGCCCTTGTGTCTATGTACCACAAGATAATTTGAATATAATAATCAATGAGGCCTCCAAGTTGCTTTTGTTATAGAATTGGCGGTAATGGCGTTATCTTATTTTAGGGCTAAGGCACTGTCACAAAAGAATGTGTGACTCTTTACAAGATCGTACAGCCTGTGACCATCGGGCTAAAGATCTTTTTCTTAAGACTCATGACTTTGTTACAAAGAATTCCTAATTTTGCTGCAAAAGTGCTTTTCTCTTGTGGTAGGTACACAAGTGTCGATAATTTTATTTGGATTTTGGCTTCTTAATACAAAAAAGTGTGCAATTTACTAGATTTTAAATGCTCTTCAAGCCTATAAAGTTTAAATAATCAACTTCTAGTTAAGTAGTTACCTACCGACTATTAAAAAACCTTGCTTGCAATTTTTACTGAATTTCAGGAAGCAACACCACCTGAAAAAATTGAGTTACCGACAGAATATAACATATCAGAATCGTTAGAAGCCTATCAGATAATCAGTACAGAAGAAAACATCAATTTAGCTGAAATAGAAGATATTCCAATCGTTTTCATCGCCGATGGACCCTTCTCTGAAGAGCATGAGGGTAAATCTTTCTGTTATACCTACTTATCCTTGGAATTTCACATCTACTGTGCAGTATTTTTGTAACAATGGTACCATTGAAATTAAGTTGTTTTTTCTTTGCCTTATTATTATTTATCTTATATGTTGTCAATAGCACTATACCTAGAATGTATTCTTATTATTTCAAATAAATATAATATGTTTGTATAGAAAAACTATTTTTTATTTTTAAATCAACCCTGTATATGCCATGCGATACTTTTACTTCGAAATTTTTGACGATTTCCAAAATTATGTTTGAAAGTGTGTGGAGGAACAGTAGCATCTAAACATGTCGCTACATATAGGATTCGGCACCCAGGCAAATTTCTTTCGTCTGCTCAAATTGACAGTTGTGAATGTTATGTTTTTTTTTTTTTTCAAGTTAGTTGAAAAAACTTGAAAAACCCATTAAAAAAACAACATAACATAAGACATTCACAACTGCCAATTTAAGCTGACCAAAGTAATTTGCCTGATGGGTGCCGAATCATATTTTGGTACCTAAGGCAAAATATTCATTCTCTTCACTCAAAGTACCAGCAATTTTAAGACAAGAAACCCATAATTTGTAATAGGTAACCCAATTCTTAGAACAAAGTTCACGGTGGTCTTACAATGAGAAATGGAATTTGTAACAATAGACTAAATTTTTTGGCCCAAATTAACGATATCTCTAAATTAAGAAACAAAACTGCATAGAAGAGATTCAATCTTTTCACTCAAAATTCCAGGGAATTTATGATCTTGCCTCAAGATAATATTTACTTTACAAGAAATGTGAGTTTCTTGAGCTAGACTCAGATTCTCTTGGACAAAATGAATAATGTGGAGCAGTTGCAATGTAATGTTGCTCTTATGGCAATTCCACCATTCATTTCGAATACAGGGTGTCCCAGGGAAAACAGTCCACCCCGATTTGTTGGATTTGCGATGAGAATCTGGAAAAACGCTCGGAAAAGTCGATTTTTGATTTGAGGGGGAACTATTTTACAGTTTTTTTCATCCCCGTAGTTTCAACCCCCTAGCTAGGGGGAGAACAACCCCCCCAAATTTGAATAGGCGATAGGGGTCATGTCATATCTCTTTATAAAGGTCTCATCGAGTTCTTTATGCTCCTAGAATTTCGTCTCATTATTTTCATCCGTAACGAAATGACAGCTTGTCAAAATCTTGGAACTAGACTATTAGTTTAGTGGAAGCAAAAGCGATACTCACCTCCCTTAATAAAAATACTTGAAATGAAGTTTTTTTTTATTATTATTAATGAGGTGTACACGAGAATTGTAAATTGTAGGTATTTTTACTCGTATTTTTATTAAGGGAGGTAAATACCGCTTTTACTCCTACTAAAACATAGTCCATTTCCAAGATTTTGATAAGCTGTCATTTCGTTACGGATGAAAATAATAAGATGAAATTCTAGGGCCATAAAGAACTCGATGAGACCTTTAAAAAGAGGTATGATACGACCCCTATTCCCTATTCAAATTTGGGGGGTTGTTCTTCTTCTAGCTAGGGGGTTGAAGCTACGGGAATGAAAAAAACTGAAAAATAATTCCCCCTCAAATCAAACATCGACGTGTCCGAGCGTTTTCCCAGATTCTCCTCCCAAACCCAATAAATCGGGGTGGACTGTTTTCCCTGGGACACCCTGTATATCAAAAGAAAAAATAATTTGGGTGAATGATGAAATTCCTTTAACATAAAGGATCCTTTTTATCAGTGAAGAATTAATTTAACTGATACTGCCCTTGTTACACAATAGTTATTTACACTACAAGTGCGTTTATGAACATGATTACAATAACGAGTGTGAAAGATTAGAACGACGAGGTCGTAGACCGAGTCGTTCTAATCACACGCGTTTTGTAGTCATGTTTAAACACACGTGTGATGTACAACTTTTTATCTACAAAGCGAAAAATAAGATTTTTTTTTCAATCATTTTCGTTTATTAGTCGTTGTATACCTTCATTTTACCTTTACAGGTTTACCTTTGGCATTTTTCAAATCACCAGAAATAGTTGTGTTCTCATGACATAACTCAAATACTGGAAAAATAGTTATGTAAAAACGTCATAACCAAACGCTTGTAGATAAAAAATTATACTAAATTTGAAATAAAAAATTTCCCGCCAAAAAAATGCTTCTATGATGGCAAACCTGTCAATAGGAAACTTGCAAGTGAAATAAAATTTACAAAAGCAGTCCTGCACAATATTCTTCATCCATTCGGACAATTTTAACAAAAAGCAATCTTCAACACAGTTGAATAACACAAAAATAGCACTGCGTCAGCAGGAGTTCGTTTGCTGCGTTTGTTGTTTACAAAATCTTGACGTCACGAGCGCTGTCATATTGAGATTTCGTGTTTTCGCGCGACAGTTTTTGATTCGAATTTCAATAAATTTTTTTTCGTACAACGTATAAATTAAAATCGAAAAAAGAAAACTATATAATATCTGATCACTAGAAAGATCTAAAAAAAATAATTTGGGAAATATGAAAATTCCCTATTAAATAAGGCTGATCAGTAATAAAATCGATCACTATTTGGAATGTTCCATAATTCTCTATTGTCTTAGTGCGTTTTCACACGATACCATACGCGATACCATATATTGCTGGCGATTTCGGTAAACAGCTTTCACAGGGAGCGATTATCGCGCTACCATTGAAAAGCCATTAATTTGATTAAATTCGCGATGTTGCCGTTCAGTCCATTATAATCGTGTAAATTTTCGTCCAAGCTTTCCCCCGTTTAATTTTATCCTTATATTCCTCAGTTGTTTTGTCCCAGATGCATGGTCTTTGTTCAATTAATTCAATTAGGTCCAGAGGATCAAACGCGCACTGAACCCTTTTCGCCATCTTGCAACGTTGTCGACTGAAGTCTGAGCGATTTATAGTTTTGCGTGTGAAGACAGGCATATACTTGCACAGACGAGTTAAATCGCTACGATAAAATATTGCGCGATATCTGTAGAACATATTGCGTGTAAATGCGATATAGCGCTATTGCTACCATCAATTTTATGGTATGGCCGTCGTGTGAAAGCGGTTCATTTAAAAACCTACAATTTTGGTGCACCGCGATATAGCGATCAAGTATTGCTCGCGATATATAGCGCCGTGTGAAAACGCCCTTAGGCTCGCTGGTTACTTGAGGAAATTCGTTCCAGAGTTTTCAGTAGAAACCAGAATTATTTCAAATCTTTTAAGAAAGAATCAACCTTGGTTATGGACTAGTGAACTAGTGAGCACACAAGGACTTTTGATTATATCATTAAAGTTATATCAAGTGAACCAGTTTTATCCGAACCTTCCAATGGAACTACACACAGATACGAGTAGTCGTGGTTTTGGAGCCATTGTCTTCCAAGTTCATGATGATGTTAGGCGAGTAGTAGCTTACTTTAGTAAGACTTCCACAGATGCTGAGTCTCGCTACCATTCCTACGAGTTGGAAACTCTAGCTGTAGTTTATGCACTAAAACATTTCAGGCATTATTTTATAGGCGTACAATTTAAATTAGTTACAGATTGTAACTCTTTGAAAAGTTCTCAGTATAAGCGAAATTTGATTCCTAAGTTAGTCGATGGTGGGTGTACCTTCAAGATTTTGATTTTATTATTGAACATAGAGCTGGTAACCAGATGGCATATGTTGACTATCTTAGCCGCAATCCTCCAAAACTTCAATCAAAATCTTTGGTAATTAATCAAGCACCAAAAGTTGCTGTTTAGTGATGATTTGGACAAACAGAAGCAGGATAGTATCATGCCTGATGGTTGGCTCTCTATTCATCAAAATATGGATAATGAAACTGTTGAGTTGAAACAAAAATTAGCAAACGGAGACTTGGATGAAAATCAGTTTTGTTTAATAGGTAGCACTATTTATCATACAAGAGAAATTAACTCTGAAAAAATTACCCAATACACAGCACTATTGAAAGAGTATCATGATGGGCAGGCTCATAAAGGAATTCATAAAACTTTATCGAGCATAAACTCGCATTTCTAGTTTCCAAAAATGCGCACTTTTGTTAAAAAAATATATTGACTCGTGTTTTACTTGCCTCATCCGCAAACGAACGCCTAGAACATTGACAAGTGATGTTCATTCGATCACCAAATATACCATTCCATTTAACACTATCCACATTGACTGTTTGGGACCTTTGCCAAAGACAAATGAGGGTTATAGTCATGTTTTTGTAGCAGTTGATGCTTACTCCAAATATTGCTTCTTATATGCCTTAAAAAGTTTAAAAACAGATGATATAGCTGACTGCATCATGGACATAATTTATCTAGTAGGTATTCCAGCTCGCATCATCACAGATTCCGTACTGTTTTTCTGTAACTTTACATAATTTTCTTAAATTTTCATGGTTGCACAAAAAATAGTTCGTATACCATGACCGCGAAACTTTTTAGCGTCCTCCAGATTATTTTGCTTCGGCCGCAAGCGGCCTCGGCGATAATTTTTCTCTACGTATGCTAAAAAGGCACTTTGCGGCCTTGGTATACAAATAACTATTATAATTTGTGGCCTTTAAGGTTCCAAAACATTTTGCGGTATTTGATTATATGTTTGGATTCCTCTGTAGACTGGAGAATTCTGAGACTTTAAAGTCTTAACCGAGATCTTAACCATAGGTTTTCTTATCCGATCGTATATCATAACTATGGGAGTTTTTAACTTGTTAACTTGTACAGGGTTGTTGATTTTCGATAGTTTTATAGGGTATAGCTAAAATGGCCGAAGCTACTGAGAAACTGATATATGCGTCCCGTCCTCTTTTTCAGTGTGTCATTTGATGGTGTAGTCAGATCTTGGCCAACAAGTTTGGTTTTCGAGGTACAGGGTGTTTTTCAAAATCAGCTGTTTTTCATAATCCTCTATAACTCCTCACCCTAGGGAGATATAGAAAAAGTGCAAATGGGAAAAATACGTCTTTTTTTTGACGTAGAATCCAGTGGCGTACTTGGAAAAAATATGGGGGTTTTATCTTCTGAGATATTTCAAAAAACAAAGATTTTTCAAATGGAACACCCTGTATCTTATTGGTTTAGTTGTTTAGGGAAAAAATTGCGGGTTCAACGATATATAACACATGATATTTTGTTTTGGTCGAAATGGCGAAAGTAACAAAAAACACTTTTTTCACTATACCAATACAAAAATA